ACTGTGGGGGCGATGTGCTGACTCTGTAAACCGCTTAGAGAGGGCTGAAAGCCCCATGAAGCGGTATATAAGTCTAACTGCTATTGCTATTGCTATTGCTATGCTGGGGAATCTCATTACTGGTAGGGGGGGCGGAGTATCTTGTAATAATTATATGGATCTTGTGGGGTTTCACCATGGGGGGGGCTCATACTGGTGCTGGGGGTTTTGTGATCTCGTGGTGAGGAATCACTGGTGGGGGGGATCTCACCATTCAACCCCGAGCTGTAAAGATTCTCCTCCCATCAGTTTTGAACACGGTGAAAAAGCAAAGGGAATCTCTTGTCTGGCTTGGCAAAAGTTTAAGGCTGGGAGAGTTGTGCATTGAAAAACAAGAACGATCAATCATTCTTCTGACAAGCACCCATCGATCCAACCACATTCTTACAAGGACTTTGCAAGCAGCTCCGTTTTTTTACAGGTAGTCCTCGACTTACAACAGGTCATTGAGTGACCGTTCCAAGTAACAGGAAAAAAAAGTGACTTTATGGCCATTATTCACACAACTTTTGCAGCATCCCCAGGGTCACACAATCAACATTCAGACTCCCAGCAACGGACTCGCGTTTATGACAGTCACAGGGTCACGTGATTTCCCCCCTTTTGCAACCTTCTGACAAGCTAAGTCGATGGGGAAAACCAGATTCACTTAACAACGGTGTAACCGACTCAACAACTGCAGAGGGTTCATGTAACAAACTGTGGCAAGAAAGGTTGTAAAAGGGGGAATAATTTACGGAACAATCGGCGCATTTAGCAACAGAAATTTTGGGCCGAATCGCGGCCGTAAAGCCAAGCGCTACCTGTGTGTACGTCCAACCTCTTGCAACATATTTTGCATGTTTGAGTTTTTGCTCCTAAGGCTTGTAAATCTGCCCAAGGGAAAGGAGGGGAAATAATTGCGGTGTACCGTAACGGGCGAGGAATGACCCTGTTTGTGACACACAACATATTTCCTCGGGTCAAATGAGGACCAAGCAGCTTCATTGGCTAAATTTGGATGTGTGTGTGTGTGTGTTTTAGCCTATTTTTGTCAGTTTGTGATCCAGTTGGTTGAGCTAATCTTGAAAAACGAGCTGCTTCTGTCACCAAGTGTGTTGTGTAAACACATCTGGAGGTTTTTCATTTTTGCCCTGTGATAAAAGTAGACCAGAATAACCGACTGGGTGGCAAGTCTAGAAATGAGAAATATCTCCAAATATTGTGATGACTCCGTCACTGGAGCTTTTTAAGAAGAGGCTGGGCGGCCGTTTGTCTCAAGTGGTATACGGAGTCCTCCTGCCTGAGCCTTGGGGTTGGACTAGAAGACCTCCGTGGTCCCTTCCTACTCTTGTTATTTTATTCTTTTACCCCATTTCCCAACCTTTCTCGCCACCGTTGTTAAGTGAATCCTTGCAGTATTACATTAGTGACTCGGTTGTTAAGCGAATCTGGCTTCCCCTTAGACTTTGCTCTATTATTCTGTATTTTCTCCTCTTATTATCTAAGGATGTTTTCTGAGAGCTTGAAATAAGTTAATGATCAGTTCCAAGAGAGAGGCAGGAATGCTACCATCGATATTAAATGCTCTCCATGAAATTCCTGCCAGCAGTATCAGATCCCCACGATGAGATCCCCTTCACCAGTATGGTTTCCCATCACAAGATCCCTTTAATTGCTTTGAGATCCCTCATCAGTACGAGATCCACACCACAAGATCCCCATAATCAGTAGATCTCTACCATCAGTATGAGATTCTCATTATGGGATCCATATTGGATCCTACTATGATATCCCCACAATCAGTGGATCACCACAATAAGAGATGCCTCCTCTTCAGGTTTCCGCCATGAGATCCCCAACACAAAATCACCGGTAGGAGATCCTCACCATGAGAACCTCACCACAATCACCAGGAGAAAGTGAGTTCTAGCACTGCCTTAGGCATGAAAGCCAGCTGGGAGACTTTGAGCCAATCACCAGGAGATCGTGAATTCTAGTCCCACCTTAGGCATAAAAGCTGGCAGGATGACTTTGGGCCAATCACCAGGAGACGGTGAGTTCTAGTCCTGCCTTAGGCATGAAAGCCAGCTGGGTGACTTAGCGTTGTTCATAAAAAAAAACTAAAAGCAGAATATAAAATAAATAAATATGTGTTATTCTTTTCTCACAGGTTGTGGAAGTCTCTGGGATAACATTAGTTGCTGGCCCTCCGTAAATTTTGGGGAAACAAAGGTGTTGTCCTGCCCAGTTGTTTTCACCTACTTTACAAAATTTCAAGGTAAGTTAAACTAAACATTTTCCCCCCAACAACTGATCGGTGAAATTTTGTGCTTTTGTGCTAAGGTTACTGTCTCTGGGGTGCAATCTACAAGTTGACCATAAGATGGCATGGAAGAGCAAGGAATCGTCTCTGAACTCTTTGCTGCCATCTAATGATTGTCACAATTTTTGCAGTTTAGGTGAAATAGTCTCCATTCTCTAGATCACTCAACCTGGTGCCTTTTAGTAGCACAGAATCTATTATGCTCCTAAAATCAGAGTGGTGTCTGATTTTGATGACTTTTTGTGCCACAGTTGTTACGGTAAGTGAGTCGCTGGACTTGCTAAGTGAATCATGAGGTCATTAAGAGAATCTGGCCTTCCCCTTTGACGTGGCTTGTCAGAAGCCAGCTGAGAAGGTCGCAAATGATGATCATGTGGTCCTAGGATGCTGCAACCATCGTAAATACACGGTCCTAAGTGTGAGGACTGGTCATATGATGCCTTTCCAGTCTTGTTGTAACTACAACCTGCCGCAAAGCGAATGGTTGGTTGTAAGTCAAGGACTATCTGTATAAACTGCTCAGACTTACCACAGGTTAAGATGGACACTTAATAAATTTTACAAATAAATACAGGTAGTTCTTGAATTATGACCATAATTGAGCTCACAGTTTCTGTTGCTAAGTGAGACAGTCGCTCAGTGAGTTTTTGCCTCATTTTACAACCTTTCACTACAGTTGTTAAGCAAATGTGGCTTTATACTCTAATGCCTTTCCATTTCTTCTCCAGTCCCCATCATTCAGGACTGCTGGATTAGTAACTATCATCCACAACTCCTTCCTTCACAGGTACATCTCCATCTTTACACTTCAGGTGAGGTCGTTTGTCCCATTTAGCCGAGACCCCAAGAAACCTCCTCCCATTACGCCAACAGAACCTATGTTTTCTGCTTTCTTTACAATCATCAAGCATTAACAAACCACAATGTACAATTTCTTTGACTCTGCAGTAAACTCTCACTATGTCCTTCTCTCTGGACTGGGCCCATAATCTGTTAGAGTGTGCACAGTGTGACTATTTTGAGAAGCATAATATCGTAAATAGGTTTGTCTTTCAAATAGTGGTTTATCTACAAGGGATATATACATACATGTACTAGGCAAAGTCAGACAATCAATCATCAACTACAGCACGGAAGCACACTCAGAGACAGAGATACGACCTCACAGGGCCTCTCTTATATTACAGCCTCTTAAAGCAATAGCAGTCAAATAAACCACCTGACTCGTTGCTACCATTGCATGATCGTTACAGCGTTACAGTATTACAACATTACAGCTGGTCAGCTATTAAATCATCATTACCCTGACATTCTCATTGACTTTCCTTGACAGAAGGTCACAAGAGGGGATCACGTGACTCCGGGACAGTGCAACTGTCATAAGTATATGCCAGTTGCCAAGCATAATATTTATAGCAATTGCGCTATCCCGGGGTCCTGTGATCCCCCTTTTGCGACCATCCGACAAGCCAAATTAGCAACGGAGGCAAGAACGATAATTAAATGTGGCAAAATTCGTTTAATGACTGTCTTGCTTAGCAGTGGAAATTTTGGGGTCAATTGTGGTTGTAAGTCAAGAACTGCCGGTATAGCTTTACAAGAAAGTGAAATTAGCGCACCTAATCTGATTCCTATCGGACCAAAATCGGAAATACATAGATACATAGATACATAGGTACATAGGTACATATATACGTACATATATATATGATTTTTACATACATACATACATACATACATACATACATACATACATATATATATAAGATTTTTACAACCCCCAGTATGCCCAAATATGGGAGGAAGATTACTACTTCCATTCTCTGTCCTTCGGCTCGTCACAAGAGACCATCCAGACAGAAACCCAATATTTTTACTGTTGCCTTTTTGTTACATTTTGTTGTATTTGTGCTGATAAATAAATAAAGGGAGACTAGTATAGATCTATTTCAAGCTATTTAGCTCTCATCAGCTAGCCATACCCTTACTGGGATTTGAACCTGGGCTATATTACATACTAGGCAGACATCTTAGCCCTTAGGCCACAGGCTCTTATCCGTTATCAGCCAGGCCAGGGTGAAAGGTATCTATTAGATTATACACACACGCACACACACACACACATACACATACATATACACACCGTCTTTTTCAGACTATAAGATGCACCAAGATTTTGAAGAGGTAAATTTAAAAAAAAGTTTTTGCACTCTGCAGGCCTCCCAAACCCTCTGCATGCCTTGTTTTTTTTGTGAAAAATGGGGCATGCAGAGAGTTCGAGAGGCTTACAAAAAGCTCTTGTGGGCTGGAGGGGGGCAAAAATGAGCAAAAAATGGCCCTTTTTCATGAATCATTTTTGCCAATAAAAGTGCATGCATAGCCTTTAGGAGGCTTGTAGAGTGCTGCTGGCGGGGGGGGGGGGGCAAAAATGAGGAAAAAAAGGCCTGTTTTTCACTCGTTTTTGCCCTTCCCACCCCTAGGAGTACTTTGCAGGCCTCCCAAACCCTCTGCACATCCATTTTTGCGAAGGGGGCGGGGTTTCGGGAGGCCAAAAATACTGTATTCGGTGTATAAGACGCACCCAGATTTTCAGCCTCTTTTTTTGAGGGAAAAAGGTGCGTCTTATACTCCGAAAGTACGGTATGTATTTTGCTCGCAGGGTTTCATTCGGACAGCAAGCCAGGATACAGGTCATGGTTAACTCTTTGAGGATGCTTGAAACGATAAGCCGATCGTTTAAACCACAGACCTTGTGCCCTGACATCGCAAACTCTCTATGCCGTGATATCAATCCCCGGTGACCCATCTTGACTGGCATAACCACCCCAGAACAAATTGTTGTCGGTGGTGTGGAAATAGGATACAACTTGGTGTGAAGGTGTGAAATTACTGGTGTCGTCCTGCAGACTTTCAGGAGAAAGCTATGAATATCATGCATCTTAAAAGACTTGTCAAAAGAGCAGCCGAATCATTAACAGTCAGGCAGACGCTTTGTCGAAAAGGCTAAGTTTTCCTCACACCAGGAGCCAATGATTAAATTATCCTCCGACAGGAAAAACGAAGGCGGGAGGGTAGGAGAGAACATTTGCATTCATCCGGGCTTGAATTGGCGCTTTTTGGGCCGGATGGTTTCCTTGCAGACGTTTCACGACCCAGCTAGGGAACATCATCAGTGCTAGGAGGGAGTGGGGTTTGTGGAGAGGACGAGGAGGAGGAGGAGAACTGAGGGAGTGGGCCTTGGTGCTCTCTGAGCTGGGCGGTTTTCCTGCAGATGTTTGCAGGAATGAGCCGAAGTGGCGCAGTGGTTAGGGGTGCAGTACTGCAGGCCACTTCAGCTGGCTGTTATCTGCAGTTCGGCGGTTCTAATCTCACCGGCTCAAGGTTGACTCAGCCTTCCATCCTTCCGAGGTGGGTGAAATGAGGACCCAGACTGTGGGGGGCGATATGCTGACTCTGTAAACCGCTTAGAGAGGGCTGAAAGCCCTATGAAGCGGTATATAAGTCTAACTGCTATTACTATTGCTGTTTCATAACCAAGTTAGGTAACATCATCAGTGCTAGAAAGGAAGGGGACTGTGGAGAGAAGGAAGGGGCAGGAAAGGAGGAGGAGAACTGTAGGGTATTTAGTGGTCTCTGAGCCTGTTTTTCTTTCTGCATACATTTCATAACCCAACTAGGTAACCTCATCAATGCTAGAAGAAAGCAGGGGTTCCAGTATCTAGGACCCTCGAAACTAATATCCTTACCTGGTTAGTTTAGTGCAGGTAACCAACTAAACTCTGCGAACAATAAGGATTCCACCCTATCGTACTTACCTCCTTACTTCTGAGTATAGGAAGTTCTCGATTTACAACTGGTTGGTTAGTTTGTTGTACTGACCCCCTCCTTCCGCAAAAAAACCTCTACATATAACCCAGATCCGAAGTTCTGATATCTTGCGACTGAATTTTGGATGCTTGACCATTGCCCTGCATTACGGCCATTGACAATTATGGTCACATAACTGGGGTTTTACTATGTTTTTTTCCCCCCTGGAAACCAGCGTTTTGTTTCCGACATACAAGTTTGATAAATAAATAAATGAGTCCACATTTATATACATACAGGTAGTCCTCAAAAATACTAACCACGTCCTTAGCAATCGTTTGAAGTTTTAGTACTGGGGGGGGGGGGGAAATAAACGAACTTACGACCGTTTTTCACCCTTACGACTGTTGCAGCATTCCTCATGGTGGCACAATCAAAAGGTGGGTCTTTGGGAACTGACTCGTATTTATGACGGTCGCAGTGTCCTGGAGCCACGCGATCCCCTTTTGTATCCTGAGAAGGAAAAATCGATGGGGGAAGCATAAGAGTCACATAATAACCGTCTTATTAACTTAACAACGGCAGGGATTCACTTAACAACTGTTGGATCGGGTAATGGATAGGCACCCACAGGCTAAAGGCAACAACAGCTCTTTATTATAACACAACAAGTGTATACAATCCATTGAAGGTTCAGTCTTACAGCAGCCCTATTATAGGGAGCAATCAGGTTGAATCTCTGTTCCCGCCGGGACAGAGGACCTTGGTGGAAACCACTGTAGTTGAAGCAAGTATCTAACAACAACTGTGGCAACAAGGTCGTAAAATGGGACAAAGCTAACTGCCTTGCTTAGCCATGGAAATTTGTGGCTCCGTTGTGGTTGACGTCAAGGACTATCACACAGATATGTGGAGGTCACAGCAAAACAAAATTGATTCGTTTAAGAAACGTCATATTCGCTTTACAATGGCTACATTCTTTTTATGACCACCATGCTCACTTAATGACCAGTGCAAAACCAGTTGTAAAATCAGCTTTAGGCACGCGGTCACCTGCTTAACAACCAATATGGTGGGCTCAGTTGCAGTTGTAAGTCGAGGACTGCCTGGAGCAGATGGCTTAGCCCCATAAAATGTTAGAAATAAAATAAACAGGGCCACAAAATGCAATTTTTGTGCAACGTGCCCACATGCTTTTGCAGCTGCCATCTCCAGCTCTGTGTCGTATCGTCATAGGTATTCTTGGTTTTTATTCCACTCCAAATCTATCATTCCTATTTTTTTTATTTCCCAGCCTCGGGAGTTTACTCTCCACCCTTATTTCGCCTTCCATGTCTCTATTTCTGTGTTGAACGACAAACCAGGAAATGCCTCAATCCCTAACACAAACACACATAGATCATTGTGTTCTCCGAATGCGTCACCCCACCCCAGAATTAATCATTGCGGTCCCTACAAGATGGTGACGAATCTAAATATTTCTTCTGCGCTTCCCAGTTTTGAGTTTTTTTTGCATTCCGATTCCGAGCTCTTTGGGAGTTTTGCTCACATTTTCTTGCGAAGTGGGAGGGAGGGGGGGCGTTGAATCGAACTGAGTAAAGAATTTAATGCAGAGCATATCCAAATAAAATATTCATTTTCCAAGAACATCCAATTTGGGTCCGTCCCGGAGATCAGAGTTTTAGTCTTCAGAGCTTTCACATTCTGCTAGAGGCCAAATATTCTCACCAGAATATCTGCTACGAGCAATTCTGTCCTTTGTATCTATGTGGTGCCTGGTTGTGTGTGTGGCATTTTAGTTGTTGATCGGGTGTTGACGGCTGGCTATCAAGACATTGACTGTTGTTTCCTTGTTCTGCCAAGCCCTCGGCTCCTGCGTACCTCATAAGCCGGTAAGTCAGCACTCCTGTTGACTGACAAGTGGCCCGTTTCCCAGGCTTCAATTATTTCCCTGGCTGTTTTTGTACCTGCTCTGCCAATAATCTTAGTAGCTGTGAAGCTGAATGTGTGTCCCTGTTCATTTGATTCACCAACTGCTTATCAGGTACTTGGGAGCCAATGACTTGGCAGCACAAGGAAACGACAGCCAATGACTTAATAGCTGCCCATCAACATCCAAATTAACAACTAAAAAGCCAGACATAACCAGGCACTACATGAATATTATGTCAACTCTCCCATGTTGTCATGGGGACAGAATGAGTGGAAGTGCATTCCACGCATACTGTCGGAGTTGGTTCTCAGACTGCAGTAGCTAGTTTGAGATGAGTGTATCTATTGGGTAATGTGATTTATGACACAGACTGAGGGGAGAAAAGGAAGCAAATAAACAGAGCAAAAATTTGGCTGAGAACAAACTTTCCTAATGAAGTCATAAATAAATCACTGGTTTTTGTATTAAAACATTGGCTCAATTATTATGAATCAGTTATGGCATTGTTAGGAAACTTGACATATTGTACACATTGGATAACCCAAAGCATACATTCTGATAGTTCCCTGAGGAAAGACTCAGAAGTCAAAAGTTCTGGTCCTGGTGACCGACCCAGATTGGATCCTGCAAAACAAATTCCAGTTTCTGGGAGAGAAAATCGCACAGCGATCATTTTTTTCAATTTATTTATCGACTAGCTGATAACCCGACGTAGCCCAGGTATGTATTTATCCCAATCCTGAATCCTTGTGGAGTACTGCAAAGCCGTTACCATGGCAATTCCACTGTGCTGTACAGTAAAAGCCATTTTAAGGCACAACAGTCTGTATCTTGAATCCAAAATGCACATTATCACTGTCAAAAGTACCATGACTTGACACTATAAATATAATTCAGTCCTTTTCATTTCAGCTGCCCAAACATTCCGAAGTTATGTTGGAACACACATACACACACACACACACAACCTGAGGGGTGTTACAGGTGTCTTACCCCCACAATATTTGTTTCCAGATAGTAAGTCATCTGTGTACCACGTTTGGTTGAAATTGCTCGAGATGTTCCAGAGTTATGCTGGAACATACAAACACAGAGAAGCATTTTAAGATAGATAGATGATAGATAGATAGATAGATAGATAGATAGATAGATAGATAGATAGATAGATAGATAGATAGATAGATGATAGATAGATAGA